GTCCTTGATCTGTGAACATAAGAGATGTAAAAAGTAGGACGCACTTGTTCACACAGGATCAGACGATCAAGAGGACCCCTGGGTGACAAATAATAATAACAGCAGAGTGATGGCGACATCAACAAGTAGGGCTTTGAAGCGCTGAGCTTCACAGGTCACAGATCTTCTGGGGCTGACAGCTGATCCGAGGGAGGCTGTCTCTGTGTCAGCGATGCAGCTATGTGACCGAGAAGACTCCATCTCTGCCACGGGACTGTCCACCGCCGCAGTGGTGGCCATCGTGTGTAACATCCTTGTAGCTCTGCTCATACTGGTTCTGATATTGATCCTCTGTAAAGCATGCAAGGTTCCCTCCAGCCAGGAGAGCGTCCCGGTTCTGACTCTAGAGAACGCACATCAGAGGAACGAACAAAGGTACTTGCTGACGGCATGAGGGGAAAAAATGGAAACAGAATGCTGTTTACATTTCGTACTGCAACGATCAATCGCGGATTAGCCGACATGGATTGTCATGAATTAGAAGTGTTTTTAAAACATGATTTCATAGATGTTTATTTGCTATGATAGAGGCCTGCGTAATTGGGGCAAAATGTAAAAACACTCTTGGATGAGGAGTGAGTTGGCTGAGCGTGGGCTGCTGGGACTGTACCTGAGCTCTCTTACACTGAACCACTCTGCCTGAGTGTTTTATATAAAGGTAAAGAGACTCTCAATGCCCTCTTTAGAGTCATTCAGTAGTGCCTGATGGCATCAGTGAAACCCCGCACCTGCAGCTAACCAGCTAGCAATCGTGCTGCGCTAATTAGCATGCGCATACAAATAAAAGCTCAAGTGCGAGAATCAAATTAAATAAGAGCTGAATTGTGCTGCTTTGTGTCTGAAAGAGGAATTGTAATACAAAATGCATGTTTTATTGTGGTTGTTTGCTTATGCAACAAGTCTGAGGGATCGGTAAACTAATAACATGCTAGCATCTTTTCCTGAGAACAGTGGCATGCACAGACCCCGCTGGGGAAGGGGTGAAACGGGGCTTCCAGAGGGCACCGCAATACGACCCCTCCTCCCCTGTGCACACAACTGCCTGAGAATATCAGAGAAAATTAAATGGTATAGATTAAGATCATGCTTGTTTAATAAATACATTGAAATGTCCTTACAAAATCGTGGTCTTTTTTTACATATTGTAAAGTTATGACCTACCTTATAGGCATACTGTAAGACTATTTTGGGGTACCCTCATGTTTCTAGACAATAGTTTAAATACAGCACCAGAGGAGTATATATATATATACACAGTGGGGAGAACAAGTATTTGATACACTGCCGATTTTGCAGGTTTTTCCACTTACAAAGCATGTAGAAGTCTGTCATTTTTATCATAGGTACTCTTCAACTGTGAGTGACGGAATCTAAAACAAAAATCCAGAAAATCGCATTGTATGATTTTTAAGTAATTTGCATTTTATTGCATGACATAAGTATTTGATACATCAGAAAAGCAGACCTTAATATTTGGCACAGAAACCTTTGTTTGCAATTACAGAGTTCAAACGTTTCCTGTAGTTCTTGACCAGGTTTGTACACACTGCAGGAGGGATTTTGGCCCACTCCTCCATACAGACCTTCTCCAGATCCTTCAGGTTTCAGGGCTGTCGCTGGGCAATACGGACTTTCAGCTCCCTCCAAAGATTTTCTATTGGGTTCAGGTCTGGAGACTGGCTAGGCCACTCCAGGACCTTGAGATGCTTCTTACGGAGCCACTCCTTAGTTGCCCTGGCTGTGTTTCGGGTCATTGTCATTCTGGAAGACCCAGCCACGACCCATCTTCAATGCTCTTACTGAGGGAAGGAGGTTGTTCTCGCGATACATGGCCCCATCCATCCTCCCCTCAATACGGTGCAGTCGTCCTGTCCCCTTTGCAGAAAAGCATCCCCAAAGAATGATGTTTCCACCTCCATGCTTCACGGTTGGGATGGTGTTCTTGGGGTTGTACTCATCCTTCATCTTCCTCCAAACACGGCAAGTGGAGTTTAGACCAAAAAGCTCTATTATTGTCTCATTAGACCACATGACCTTCTCCCATTCCTCCTCTGGATCATCCAGATGGTCATTGGCAAACTTCAGATGGGCCTGAACATGCGCTGGCTTGAGCAGGGGGACCTTGCGTGCGCTGCAGGATTTTAATCCATGATGGCGTAGTGTGTTACTAATGGTTTTCTTTGAGACTGTGGTCCCAGCTCTCTTCAGGTCATTGACCAGGTCCTGCCATGTAGTTCTGGGCTGATCCCTCACCTTCCTCATGATTATTGATGCCCCACGAGGTGAGATCTTGCATGGAGCCCCAGACCGAGGGAGATTGACTGTCATCTTGAACTTCTTCCATTTTCTAATGATTGCGCCAACTGTTGTTGCCTTCTCACCAAGCTGCTTGCCTATTGTCCTGTAGCCCATCCCAGCCTTGTGCAGGTCTACAATTTTATCTGATGTCCTTACAGATCTTGGCCATTGTGGAGAGGTTGGAATCTGTTTGATTGAGTGTGTGGACAGGTGTCTTTTATACAGGTAACAGGTTCAAACACGTGCAGTTAATACAGGTAATGAGTGGAGAACAGGAGGGCTTCTTAAAGAGAAACTAACAGGTCTGTGAGAGCCGGAATTCTTACTGGTTGGAAGGTAATCAAATACTTATGTCATGCAATAAAATGCAAATTAATTACTTAAAAATCATACAATGTGATTTTCTGGATTTTTGTTTTAGATTCCATCACTCACAGTTGAAGAGTACCTATGATAAAAATTAGAGACTTCTACATGCTTTGTAAGTGGGAAAACCTGCAAAATCGGCAGTGTATCAAATACTTGTTCTCCCCACTGTATATATATGATATATGAACGGCTGTGATTCGGCTCCAAGTAATCACAGCGTGCTGATTATACAGCCATATCGCACGGCTACGAGTGTGATATTGCGTTTATACAATAATTCGACGGCACAAGTGAGTAAATAAATAAGAAACAACAACGGAGTATCTTTAAAAACCCTCTTTTGTGCAGAACTACTTCCTTCCGCCACGGATTCAAATCTCAAGTTGACAGTTTGACAGTTGAGCCCAAGCCTCTGTTACAAATTCTAAAACGTCACTTTAGAATTAGTAACGAAGGAACGTTGAGTCGCTTCATTGATGCCTTTTGTATTATGTGGAGTAGAGTATTATGGTATTATGAGAGAGATTGACTAAACAAGTGTATTACCTGCATCTGATATAGCAATCATTCTTCAGGTCGATGTTAATAAAATTATATCCAAAAATCAGTTTGAATGTCCGCTGAGGAAAGCGATATGTTCGTCTCCCGTTACACCACCAGCGACTTTGTGGCTGTGTGTCGCTAGCAAGGGGGTAATCCATCAGCCGGAAACCGAAGCTTCCCTGGGGGCCGCCATTGATTAGCAAGCCATCACCTGCTGTTAGCATTCCATTGACTCCCATTCATTTTGGCGTCACTTTGACAGCGAATAACTTTACATCTGAGTCATTTAGAGACTCTATTTGTCCATTGTTTATTTCTAAAGAAACACGACAATGTATAAAAGGCTCCATTACCTTGTATCTTACGTTATGGCCCCGTAGAAGCAGTTTTTGTAAAAATAGGCTACGATTGCGTCATAACCACGCGACTCTCTGTCGCACAGTAGAGAAATAACCATACAGACAGGAGGAGAAGCTCGCAGGCAATCGGGGGGACGTGGAGGCATAAAGTCAAGGGAGAAGCCCATAGAGAGTCATAAAGTTGATCCTGCTGCTAGCTCATGGACAGCTCCTACTCTCGCTCTCCGTCTCTGCAAGATTCGGAAGGGATGATTCAGATTCCTCTTGGCACAGATACTAGAAGACTTACAACTGTCAGACAGTTTGCTCACCTCACATCTACGTCATCAAGCTCAGTACGCTCAGCCATCAGGAAGTAAGTGCTTCTAATTGACTTCACTTTTCTCCGTTGAAGTCTATGGGGTCGCTGTGTCCATTTCTTTTACTGTCTATGGTCGCTAGTCTCTGTACTGTTAAGTCACTTGTGGGCGTTCTTAGTGATGTCGCTCTAATGTTATTGGTAGACTGCACGTCTGGCCATATCTATACAAAATACCATCACAAGTGATATATTACAACTATGTCATTTTAATTTGACTAGGAATTAGGCTCAAAAGAAATAGTAGGCTATTGTGAGAGTGTTTTTATATTACCACAGCAGTGTTCGGTGGATTAAATCATTTACTAGATTAACGATCGATCAATCAACAAATTGAACTCACTCATACGGTCATAAATTACTAAAAAAACATCATTCGAATTTGACAAATAATCAATTTTCTCTAATTATAATAATCCATTTTCTCTCGCGTCGCTTGACACGCCCACATTCTGTCGCCAACGGTCACTGTCGCCGGAAGTCACCAGCGCTCCATTAAAATGAATGGGATCTTGTCGCTGCGTGTCACTGGCGGTGTGTGAACGGTGCCGCTTCCTGTGAGCGCTAAAACAACTTCCTTGTTCTGACTCAATCATAAAGACTTTCACTGAAGTCCATATAACGATCCTTTCTCAGTAGCCTACCAAATACGCCATATTATTTATATAGAATAATATTTATTGAACAACAATTTTTAAATTAGCAACAAAAGCCATTATAGAAGACAATAGGAAATAAACACAAGTAAACAATTCAGTCAAACGTACAAGCAGCACTCTAGTACCGGATTCAAGTGAAATATACCCTAAATAGTTATAAAACCTTAATTTTCCCCTTAACCAAAATCGATTTGCTCTGGAACAGGTAATAGAATAATAAGACAAAAGAATCGCCCATTTGATATACCCCAAATTAATTATATCTCAAGTTTAACCACTATCTACATAAGAGCCAGCGGCAAATTCCCGAAGGACGGTGTTCTTTGCTGGTACATGAGCGCTGAACGGCCGCTGACGGCCTGGAGCTCGCATCTGCGAAAGCGCCTCAACAGATCGTAAAATAGGCACTAAGATTATATATTAGTCACATATTTGAGGTCTAAATAACTACATTCTTGCCTAAGAAACTCTTAAAACTACATTTCGTGACACAACTACAGTAGTTATTAAAAATATGGTGGATTTGCTCGACCGCCATGACAGTCGCCACAAGCAGAGTGATACAAACGGTGAAACGGTTAGAGTGCTGTTACTGCGCAAATATCGCACGGCTGGAAAAGACTCCCAGCCAATCAGATTCAAGAGACAGAAATAACCGGTGTATATATATATATATATATATATATATATATATATATATATATATATATATACTTGCAGTCGTCCTGGTCTTACTCTTCCTCAGTTCTAATGACTCTTGCCATGTTATCTCAGCGAGCTCAACAGTTGCTCCATCTTTGCTATTTCCACCTCCGGTCCCTTTGGCAACTCCTGACCCTTCTTCTCCTGCAGAGCGAAAGAGAAAAATGAAGAGAATGAGATGAGTCAGCTGCTGGTAGTGAGAGAACTGACCCAGGGGTGCCAGTAACAACCACAAACACTTCTCAGTGTGAAGCTCTCATTTAAACATTTCCATCTCGACTGGCTGAGGTAATGAGAGAAGTGTTAGCAAGGTGTTATTTCCTCTGTGTGCTGTGGCAGGAAAAAAAACGCTTACACCACCATCAGAGACTCGCTTTAATCTCGCATGACATTTGTCTGAGATGATTACAGAGACACATTGTTTCCTCAGAAGAGAATAATCAAACATCACTATGTATGCTGACCATACCAACACCATAATGAACTAAACCAAACCAGACCAGAGCAGTTTTTCAAAAGAGAAATTCCCTTGCACTAATTAAACACTCTCCAGTTCCTGTCAATCATTAGGCAAAATTTCAGCAATCATGAGTCTGGTAATCACTGCAAGAACATCTGCTAAATTTGCTCAGCAGAATGCTAATGTTCATATATCCGCAGATCTGTAGTGGAGGGATCTTCAATAAGCTCTAATAAGTAGCTCAAGGTTACAGCTATTCATAGAATCCATCAAATCCTAACCAGGGAGCGCTGTTAGGGAGATAAATTTGAGAGAGTGAGATATGTCAATCAAAGGGACTTTTAGGGAAAGACAGGGTGTTTTTTTTAACTTGTCTTCATGCTAGTCTTTGCCTTAGTTTCAACAGCGGAAAATATACAGTATATAACAGCAAAAAAAAAAAAAGAAGACCTTCAGACCATCTTTGTTGACCTCATTAGCTTGGGAAATGTTCAGCCTTGAGGTGCACAAATATGTATAAACTCAGAAAAATGCTTTTTTTTCAGCAAATGTCTTATTGGAATGAACATAAAATATTCAACACCTGAGACACTGAACAATATCAAATGGCGCTTTTCCACTGCTGGTTCGGCTCGGTACGGCTCAGTACGGTTCGGCTCGGCACGGCACGATTCAGCTCGCTTCGCTTTTCCACTGCTTGGTACGACACGGCACGGCTCGGCTCGCTTTAGCTCGGTTTGCTTTTCCACTGCAGTAATGGTGCGTTCTATTATTGTCAACGAACCGACTCGGCCCTCGGATATGACGCCATTTCCACACTTCAAGCGTTCTGGTATGTTTTGTGTGTCCGAGTCGGAGAAAAAACATGGACGCCACCCGGAAAGCTGTTGCTATGGTAGCACTGGCCGAGTACCAGGCGCTTATCAAAACTCAGCAATTTGAACTTCTAAAATTTTCAATTTATTTCATGTTTTAGTTTATCTTCTGTTAGCAACGCTAGCCACGTTAGTAACACCCGTTTGAAACAAGGCTTCATTCAATATTGCACTCACAACAAGACCGATTCCCATACCCACAGGCAGTGATATGGACGCAGTAAGGTATTGCAGTAATACGAGTGATTAAAATCTTCATTTAAACAACCAAAGCGGTCCAAAAACAAAGAAAACAATTCATACTAAGTCACACAGGGCGCAGCCATCTTGGATTCCGTATCAGAATTCTTGCTCGGTGTCCTGACGGTTGTCCGAAATCCGAGCGGGAAAATCCGAGGAAAGGGGGCGTGTTGGTGCGTGTTGCTAGGCAACGTCTGTCTTCCTAGTCGGAACTCCGACGCGGATAAATAATAGAACACACCATTAGTACCGCTTCAAAGTGGGTGGGATTATAGTCAGACCGTTATAGTTTATCCGCTCCTCGGCAACCAACGAGAGGAACGTCTGCACTTCGTCCACTGACCATGATTCAGCGCCATTTCTTTTTAATGGAAGTTTTCTTTCTTTTCTTTTTTCTTCAAGCAAGTCAAGCAAATAGTTTTAAAACCGGTGCTACAGCGGTGGCTGTTGTCTATTGGCTATTTAAATCTAGTGGGTTTAGTGTCTCGTGTCGCAAATACAATGACGCTGATAGTGACGATTCTGTCTGTCTGACCAATCAGTGATCTGTAGTGTTTTCACGTCACATTTTAGTATCGGTACGGTACGCTTGGAACCTCAACAGACCAGGTACCATTTAAAGCGAGCCGTACCGTACCGTACCATGCAGTGGAAATGCGCCATAAGTGAGCCGTACCGAACCGAGCCGTACCGTACCATGCAGTGGAAAAGCGCCAAAAGTAGCAGTCAGTATTCTGGTTTGGTCACCAAAAGACTTTCAAAACATTTTTTTTTAACCTACAGACTCCCAAATGGTTGTGTGTGTGTGTGTGTGTGTGTGTGTATACAGTATATAAACAGCTCTTCATTAATTCTGATACAGAATAGAAATTATTTATGAAGTGGCAGAAATGAGTCTCCTTTCCAAATGAATGTGGCATCTGAAGCAGATTATTGTGAATCAGCAGAGAGTTCTTATGTAAATGAAGAGGAAGATTTTATTGCTTTTAAGTGTCTCTCTTGCCAAGAGGATTTCTAATGTTTATAGTAATTGTGGTCAATGTCTGATGTAAAACTGCAGAGTTTTCTGAGAAGTGGCTGACTGTTGAGACTGTTGTGGACCGAAATAGATTCGAAAATAAATCAGCAGCTGAGACAGCAAACTGAGGGCTCAGGAAAGAATACTGACCCGACTATACATGCAGTGAATCTAAAACAGTCTGTAAATAGAGAACTGACTACAGGATTATTATGGATACTGTGATTGATAAGTCACCGGCACAAAGACACATGGTGGAAAAAAGCATTTTGAAGGCTCATGTGAGGTGAGATATGTGTGGGTCGGTATAGTGTCCTGACCTGGGAACAGCTGACTGATTCTATTGAGTTTGGAACAAGCTGCTCTCAGTCACCGTTTCAGACGCCACCCCATGGGTCTCACCATTGCTTTAACATGTAGACAGGTATACATGTCTGGCTTCAGTGAGCATTGACCATTACTCGCATAAGCACAACTGGAAACCTGAAAAGGTCAAGCACTTTATCCAAATAATCAATATCATCACAGTCCTTCATAAAGGTCTGTATTATAGAATATGTTTTTGTTTCCTTTATTTTGTGATACTATTTTGAAGTATTTGATTTGTACTAAGGTGAAGAGTGTCATCCCCCCTCTATTTTTGCTCATGAAGAAACATGATATCTTATATATATATAGATATATATATAAGATTTTTCAAATAATTTCATAAATAAAAATAAAATATATATTTAAAATAATGTATCCTACCTCATTATCCAGCGACAACTATAAGTAATCCATTCATATTGACTTCCCAAAGAATGTAAACTGTTTTGCCTTCAAAACTGGCAATATATCAGCCAGATCACAGTTAACCAAAAGCATCGTAAGCACAAGTACATCACAGAATCCTTTGGCTCTAATGGTCTCTACAATTTACACAGACTTACAATGTGTTTGGGAAATGAAGTATAGGTTGATTTAGCAGTTTTGACTATCTGAATTGAACAGTTTTGAATATTTGCATACATTTGCTCTTCCACAATGTAGAACTTAGTCTTTGGGGGTTGGGATCATCTGTAATACAGTGGGGAACTGACTAGTTTCTTTGAACAATAGAAAATGGGAGAAAACTATTTGGAAACAATTATTATTATTTTTTTTGCAGTTTAGTTTTGTGCAAAAATTATCACTAATATCAGATGCAAATCAGCCTCTTGATGAGGCAAAACAGAAATTTATGTCAGTTTTAAATTCATTAGCCCAGCCATCTAAGATCAGCCACTGCATCAGGGGAGTAAGTGTGCTCTTTCAGAGGTAATAATGACATTACGTTGAGGAAAGCTGGTGATTAATGACTTGAGGAGACAGTGAATGCGTTGCATAACTGATGCTCATCAGTCATTAAAACACATTGCAATCCAGCAGTTCTCCAGCAGGTAAGTACAGCCATGGCAGCTTCTTACTTATCAAAAGCATTAAAGGACAGCAACTCAACCTGTGACACTGTGCATCATTAGAATGAACCATTTCAGTCAATCAAATATAATCACAAACAGAACATGGCACACTAAGCACTGGCATCGATTGAAATCTCTAAAAAACAAATCAAACATTTCACAAGTCGAGTTGTCACAGACAACAGTTTGCCTGTGAGGCCGAAATTTTTTAATTACGAGCTGCCATTGTTATTTAGTATATTACTTAATAAGCTAAAGGGCTCAATACATGATCAGTCAATGGGTTGGTTTATTTAAATGCAGAACGGAAATTATGAAGAACACAAAAGATGATAATATGTGGGCGCTGAGTACTTTCACAGACAGGTGCCACAAGATTAACAAAAATAACCTGATCCATTATAGACCACTAACCAATTAAAATAACATATACTGTAGGTGAATTGATAGTGGAAGAAAAAATAAAGCAGGAAAAAGGGTCTGCATGTATTAAAGACAGACTACAGCAAATACAGAAAGTGGGAAATCTCATCAGGATAATTAGGTCATATATAGCAAGGGGTCAAGTTTTGGCTAATAAACACAGTTAGCCCCCAAATCCCCAAAATATTTTTTAACAGTAGTGTACATTAAACATTTAAGGTGAAATGTATAATTTCTTGGTTGCTGAAATGTGCAGAGACATTGGAAGTGTAAATTCAAAATGTCTGATTCAACCAATGGCGTGAGTTTGGGGATGGAGCTACCTGATTAACAGTCACAAAGATGCAGATATAGCAATTCAGCACATGAAGTATTCGGCACAGCAGTGATTGAAACAGCACTGATCAATTAAGCATGTGATTTCATTGGAGGCCTATACATAATATTAGTGCATCACTTACCTTAGGCTTCTTGCGGAGGTTGGGCGAGAGCTTGAGGCTGATGACATGGCCGCGGTCATCGCCCACGATGATGATGGGATGGACAGGGTTGAATTCGATGTGCAGGAGCCTGGTCTTCTTGGACACCACTTTTTGTTGGCAGAGAGCCTCGTATTTGTTGATGTTGAGGTCGAACACATGAACCTGAGAGAAAAATAGAAGAGGAACAGGAAGATTTAGTCTTTGTCATTATTATGTGGCATCAGTTTATGTTTTTGTGTTTTCAGTGTGAAGCAGACATTAGCACCTCTATAATTTATTCTCTTGCTTTGGCTCTGAGTGTCAGAAAGCCTAAGATGCATTTGAGTTTGTGTGTGCGCACTTGCATTTCAATATATTCATATGTATACGCACAAGAATGCGTGTGACTGTGGAGGTGTAAGAATGCAGACCATCTGCTGTGGAGGATCGTATTAATTGTGTGATAGTACTGTATGTATAGAGAGGTAGTATAAATATGCAAGCATAGATATATTTAAATGTATAATTAAATAAATCATTAAAATATATTTAAATGTATATGTCTCTCAGAAATGCAGATTAAGAATGATTCTCTCTGAGGATGACAGTATTTCATCTTCTGCAATATTCACTAGGAAAAATTCAAATGATACAGAGAGAGGAGGGAGTGAGGGATGGGTGATTATAATTCCCATCATCCTCATTGTCATTCATCATCTATCATGCTGCCCACCTAAGCATGGTCTCTGCTCTGGCAGCTGAAAGACAGAGATGGGAGATTGGAGACACAGAACACAGGTTTGGCTACTCATTAGTAAATATTTGTCAAGCAGATTGGCTCATAATTAGTCAGCGCGTGCGAATCTATCTTAACAGACCGATGATATTCTGGGCAGCTGACGCAGCGATGCAGAGGACACACACCACGTCAGGACTAATGATGCCATCTGTAACTGCAGGAGTAACACCAAGAGCTTGAAGGAAGGAAGCCCCTTTAAAGATTAGCAATTGAGCGTTTTGGTTTGTGTTCTGTCATTTCAAGATATGTCAGTCAGCAATGTTTATTTTTGTAGGCTTGCCTGTAATTAATGTCTTTATGGCATTTAGAAATAGCTGAGGCAGCCCACTGGCAGCAGCTATCTGGGGCTTCATTTATAAAGCGTGCATACGCACAGATTTGATCTTAGAGTGTGCGAACACTAAAATCCAGACAACGTTCAGATTTATAAAAACGGTCTAAGGTAAGGTCTTTGACGTGGTAAAGTGCTTAGCGCCACGTCCGGTCCCGGTTGTGGCAGAGAGTCAAAGTACTGCAGGTATTTGCTCGCCATTCTCAAGAAAAAGATTTGGACGTTGTCTGGTGCTCTTTTAGTATATGCTAATGATATTAATTAGGGGGTGTTTGAAGCCATTCAAACCATTCAGGTGCACACAATGTCAAGATCATTTGCGATTTATAGATTTCACATCTGAAAGAGAGCAGTATGCACATTTTTGTGCGTACTGTATGTTCGTTTCTCTGAATCACTAGTACACACATTTGAAAATTATCTTAGACCAAATGTAGGAGCGTTTTACAAATGAGGCCCCAGGGCCCATAGCAATACTAGTGCTATACTGGCATATATCAAATCACACAGAAGGAACTCCAAAGCAAGCCAGATCAGGTAGGATTACATTTAAAATCAATGTCAGAGCAATAGAGCAGATGGTAGCACACATGATGCTCCTGACATATATTGAACTGTTGTCATTATGTAATGGTTTTAATCAAGCCCTGAATGCTTTTGTTCTTTTACAAAAATTAGGCTGAAAATGTTTTACTTTATTTAGTTAGTTTCCATTGGAGGACATATCTACTATTCTAAGTGGATGACATTTCTGCATTTTTTATTACATTAATGATAACAGCAACAGTAACTATTAGGCAGGAATGAAGCAGAGAGAATCCAAATGCAAGTACTAATTTAATAAACAAACAGGTAATCCAGGGCAAAACAACAGAACATGAACTCGGAACAAAAAAACAGCTACAAGCAACAACAACCAACAACTGAAGCACACAGGTTTAAATACACAGACAAACAAGCTAAACAAGATAACAAGGGGGCGTGGTAAATCCGAGACACCTGGGGAGACTAATACCAAGACAAGGAACACCTGTGGACACTGAGGAAACAATTAACAAATGACAAGACACATGGCAGGATCACATGACAAACAGGGAATCACGTGACAGACAAGAACAAGGAACAAGACACAAAACCCACACTGCGACAGTAACAGTTTCTGTCAGGACCTGACTAGTATAACCCCCTCCCCCCATGTTCATATTATAATTATAATTATAATTATTTTCATCATATTGATTAATAATTAAACTTTTGGTTTTATGTTTTTTTAATTGAATGAGTTATATGTATGTTTACCATTATTGTTTGTTTCTAGAGTACGACAACCCGACAATTTGTTTTTCTACATAACAATCTAAAACAGCACAGGATATTCTTCCAGACATTAATAAATACAAATAAATGAATTAAAGTAAGTTAATAAATAAACACATTGTACCATTGGAATGGCTGTAAATCAGCATTCGAGTTGTTTGGTTTTGCTGGGGGAACAGAGTGTGGTCTTTATTGGATCACGCTGTAATGGGCTTCCTTTAGAGGGCAGGTGTAGTTTAGCTTGTCGGATTAACGGTGTTAGCAAATAACAGCAAAAGCCGCCATGGCGCGGCAGTTCAAACCATTCGAGATGCCGAGACTGACAGGTGATGCCTGAAGCAGCCTTAGACAAGTGCTTGAGACCAGCTGTGTGATTTGAGACTAATTGCTAATGATGGGCCACAGGATAGATGTCGTGGCTTTTGACTCACACAAGCAGAGTGTGAATGTTTGTGTGTGCTGGAGCTTACAGGTGCAGTCAAGCACTGTTGGAAAGACGTCCCACTGTCAGCCTGCTACTGTATTTTATTAACATTAAATTCCCTCATAAGGGGGCGTGTGTGTGAATATCCCGTGTGTGAATCGCACACTCCAAAGTTGATTGTTGATTTTTATGCACAATTGACAGACAATAAGACGTGCACTGTGTGCCATGACAGTTAGGAAGTTTAACTCACTGAAACTGAGACCGGTTGGAAATCGGTTGCTTCAGGAGGAGGTGTTAGTGAGGCTAGTAAAGGGGCCTTCTAATAATTGTTATTATTAGAACAAGCGAACGGATGGATGGATTATTATTTTTTGTTATTATTATTATTAAAATAGAGTTTGAAGCCACATTTTACCATTGTGTTTGTATTTGAGTAGTCAGTTGACACTTTACCTTTCCATCGTTGGTGATAGCAGCAAAGATAGTGGAGGAGTATGGAGCCCAGGCCACATCTGTCACTGAAGTTTTCAGTTCAAAAGTGAAAATGGGAGACCTGTGAGAGACATGCATAGACATGTATGAAGAATACTTCAGATAAGCTACTACTCAGTCAAAACAAAACTTTAACAGAAACTACATTGCTCCCATTCTGAATTCATCTAATTGTTAAATGTTGTCAGTTGTCAGTAACTGATGTCCAAAGATGTAAAATATAACAGCGAGACATCTTTAAAAACCTCATCAGGACTTCCCTGGGCAAGACAGTCACAATCACTAAGAAAAAAAGTGAAGGGGGTCTGAATCAATAGTTCCACATAATCCAAATGAAAGGAGTCTGCTTCTCAGTTTGAGGTGACAGATGGATTTATCTCCTGGCGTTTGTCTGAGCACCAGACCTGGCAATTATATCATTTCTGAGAACTTCATTTGTAAGATTCTTTGATCATTTGAAAAATAAACAGCATTTATTTGAAATATAAATGTATTTTCTGTCACTTTTGATCAATATAATACAGTAGTGTAAGTGTTTTAACAATAATACAAGCTTTTAAACCCCCTGGAATACCTTGCCCTGTAGACTTTCATTGTAAGTATTTGTGTTTGATTTTACAAACTGATGAAGGGGAAAGTAAAAATTGTTGTCTGTGAAAAGCATGAAGTCACAGATGTTGAACAATCTTTTGTGAAATCTGTTGTCTATCCAGGTTTGTTTTACTGCCATAGAGCTTTACATCCTGAAGTATTAAATTATTTTAATGGCAGAATAAGCAATCAGAAATATGTTCATATGACAGAAGTTGAGTATGATTGGAAAAGTATACCGTAAAGTCAACTTCTATTAAATGAACATTTCTAATTGCTTATTCTGCGATTGCAGATCGATAGACAACAGACAGATATCCATTGCTGACCTAGGTAAGACCTGTTGTAAAGCACAAGAGCTCTCTGCTGGCAGTTTAGGGATACTGCATATAAAAACACCAATTAAAAGGATAGTTCACCCAAAAATGAAAATTGTATCATCATTTACACACCCTCAAGTTGTTCCAAGAGTTTCTTTCTTCTGTTGAACACAAAAGAGTATATTTTTTCCTACTATGGAAGTCAGTGGCTACCGTCAACTGTTTGATGACCAACATTCTTTAAAGTATCCTTGTTTGTGTTCAACAGAAGACAGAACCTCATGCAGGTTTGGAACAACACAGAGTTCTTTATATAAAAAATATTATAGTTTTTTATATACAGTACGTATGCAACTAAAACCGCCAGTAGGTGGAGGCAAGTGTTAGTAAGTGATTCAAGTGTGAATGTTGAACAAAATAGAACAAAACAGTTTAAATGACAATATTGTGTCTAAAAATTGCAACTGTTGTATAAAATTAATATCACATTTGCAATAGTGCTAAAATCATGAAAATATATTGTGGCTTGTGTTAAATTGCTTAACTACACTAACTAATTGCTTAGCATTAGTTAACTACATTAGTTAATTACATTCTCTGTAATTGAAACTTGCTGGCCAAACTTGTTTACTAACGGAAAGTTCGTAAAGACAATGTTTAAAATAATCCAAGTGACTACAGTGGCTCAACCATAAGTTTATCAAGCGACGAGAATACTTATTGTGCGCAAAACCCCCCCAAAATAACGACTTTATTCAACTATTCATTTTCTTCTGTGTCAGCCTCTGAGTGAGTTCACGTAGTGTAACAGCGCAGTGCTTCTGGGTTGTACGTCAGAGCGTAGGCTCACTATTGGCCGAAGTTTCAATTACAGAGAAGCCTATGGAGCAGTGATCCAGCTCTCAGATTTAATCAAAAAATATCTTAATTTGTGTTCCGAAGATGAACGAAAGTCTTACGGGGTTGGAACAACATGAGGGTGAGTAATTACTGACAGAATTATCATTTTTGGGTGAACTAACCCTTTAACATGAAATAATAATGATCTGCACTTCTACAGCATTTATTAATCTTTGTTAATGTCAATTTCAACATTTACTAATACATTATTAAAATCAAAAGTTGTATTTGTTAACATTAGTTCATGCACTGTGAAGTAACATGAACAAACAATGAACAGCTGGATTTTTATTAACTAACATTAACAATAACAAATGTATTGCTCATGGTTAGTTAATGTTAGTTAATACATTAACTAACATAATGTTAACAAATGAGACCTTATTGTAAAGTGTTACCAAGAACTCATAGAGGGACAATTCATATCTTTTGGGGGGCTTTTTATTTTATTTATTTTGGTGGCATTTCGGACTTGTAAGGCACTACTTTATACCAATGCCAGCCTACTGTAGCTTGCTTGCTGTTAAGCTTAATGGAGAGCTACTGCCTAAATTATGCTGCCAGTAGATATAGTGCTGTAGGGACTGGTGCTCATACTTAATTGTCTGATCCCATATTTTCACCATCCAGTCCCAGCCGCAGGAGATGAAGACATTGGGATGGAAGGGATTCCACCTCACACGACTAACTGTCATGAAGTGTGCATCATACGTCTCCAGGAACTTGCTAGAATAGTATTTGGAGCCCTGTGAAAGACAAACATACACTCATTATTGTTTACATTTACATTTTTTTTTTAAATGCTGGTTTGTACAGCGGCACTCTTGCAGAAGTAATGACAATTATTTTTCTTTAAAACATCAGCGAATCCACAGTGAGTTAGATTAGATTTAGATTAAACCTAGCTCACCTTTACACCATCTGGATTTTTTTAGTTTCTGGTTTACTTGGCTTGCTTATTGTAGTCCATCATATCCGAAGATGAATCTTTTATCTCTTCTTTCAAGGCTATCATTTGAGATGCACAAGTCCAATTGGAGATGCGCATTTACTGCATTGCGGTGCATATATGGCCTAACCTTGTGTTGGCAGGCAAAAGATCTAAGCATGTTTTAACATCCTTTTTTGTATAGTATCCCCATTTAGTGGAGATTATACCATTACAACAGAGCTGGCATGATCAGCAGCAGTACTTTCTTTGGGTTTTGGATTCAACTTCCATTTCTTCAACAATTGTACTGTTCTTAGTGTAGTTTATTTTTTAGAACCACTAGATGGTGCTAGTCCATGTATGTTTTTGATGTTGTCAGAGAGTAACCTCTGACCTTAATTGCAGCCATCTTGCTTAATCAGTTGATGCTGATAGTCACACGGTTAAAGCAGCTCAATCTCTTCATCATCTTTGAAATCATTTATAGAAGCTTTGTCCGTAAGTATTAATGCGTTTCCTAGAAGCTTGTTTTTTATCTTTTGTCTGGAATTAGTGCCAGTAATTTTAGGATAAAATTGATTTTAAGAGAGACTTTTCAGTACGATGTTACATGTATCTAGATTATTATTGTGTATATTATGTTTAGTTATACTTTAAGCAAACTGTTTCAATTATTAATGTACAGTCCAGTCTTTAGTAAATTATTTTCCCTTTTTCTGTATTTCAGTTTTACTCTGTTCCACTTGCATTTGAAGTGGTGGTGTTAATAAATCCATGCTTCAGTTCAACTTTCTTGTGGAAGGAGTCATCTGTCTGCCTAGTTGAAGAAGGGGAACTCTTTTACGAGGGCAGAATAACAATGTTTTCTGCTTTTTCTGACCATCTGCCAAGCGCCAACCATGATGTAATTGGCCATACATTTCTTAGTAAATCATGATACTTCCTAACAATATGCCCAAAACCAGAGCAGTTGTTGCTGTTTTACCATGGCCTCTAAGGCCATGTCCACACGGACACGGCTATTTTTATAACTGGAGTTTTTCCTACAGCGTTTTAAAAAAAATCCCGTCCACACATGCTCGGTCTCCGTCTACATGAAAACGTAAAAACATGCAATCAAGCGCGGTCAAGAGCATGCCACGCCAGCAGGCGGCGATATAAACCTTAACCCTAAAGCCACGTTGGCCAATCAGAAGCGCAAATCTCATGTCAAACACAGCAGATAACGGCGCACACTCTGACATCGCAAGGCAAAAACCCCGGTTTCACTGTCTACACGACAACACTGTAACCGGCGTTTCTGAAAATCCTCACCCTGGCAGGGGTTTTCAAAAATGTTCGGTTTCAGTGCGTTTTCGTGTGGACGAACGGCCGAACCGCGTAAAAAAAGTCACGGTTTTAAAAATACCCGTGTCCGTGTGGACAGGGCCTAAAAGTTTTGGCAGTGACATAAATTGTGTGCTTTGCAAAGTTTGCATCTTCAGTTGTTGTGGTGTTGATTCACATTGTTTTTAGATTACTGTGCAGAGTTGTCAGATGCATTTTAAATAATTGCAAAAAGCTTCATTGGCCAAACTTTCTCACAAAAACACTAATTTCACCAGCTAACAACATTTCATTAATCACATCATCACCACATGGGAAAGTATGAACAAGTACTAGTCAGGAGAAAGTGCTTCCAATAAGGGATGCACCGATATGAACATTTTGGCCGATACCGATAACCGATAATTCTTTACATTTGAAAGCCGATAACCGATATATTGGCCGATAAATCTAAATTAAAAATTGTATATACTTTGATAGCCTGTATAACAAAAGTCTCACCATTAAATCAAAATAAATCAAACCTATACAATACAGTATAGCCTAGTTTGAAGCAGTGTAAGATTCCTTATATTTTAAAATTAATTTTACACTCATATGGACAACTTTCTTTATTAAAAAATGGTACTTTATAATAAGGTTTAATTTTGTTAGCATTAGTTATCATGACCCAACAATTTTATAAAACATTTTTAAGAAAGTTGTATCTGTTAGTCAATGCACTGTGAACTAACATGAAGGCACATATTTTATTAACTAACAATAACAAAGGCTATTGCTCTCTGCTAGTGCATTAACAAATGAGACCTTATTGTAAAGTGTTATCAAAAAATCTATTGCTTAACAAAAAATAAAATACATAAATAATGCAAACAAGTCATTGGATAACATTGGGCTGCATATAAAGAAACAAAATGCATGTCCCATGGATCAATAAAATGGAATCGCCTCCGCACGGACAATAAGAAAAAAATAATGTTAGTTATTAATTATAACGCAATGTTTTTGAAAAAAATTAAACATTTTTAATATTACATTGATACATCTTTAATAGCTTAGTTACTGTTTCAAATTACATTGCTGTGTGAGCTGCGCGCGCTGAAGCTGAAGAGAACAAACGTTAAACCGAATCGCTTTGCTAGAAGGTTAATCAACTCAACGGTTGTTGAAGAATGCAAACCCAAAGAATTTACAAATGTATAACAATAGTGAATACAACTATAATTGTATGACAGTCCCAATCATAGCTTTTAATGTTTTGCATTGTTGTTTAATCTGCGCGCGCTGAAGCTGAAGAGAACGAGCACCGGGAAACTGAAGAACTTTTCTAGCAGGTTGTTTAAAGGTGCCCTAGAATGTTTTTTTTTATTATTTTATAATGTTTCCTGGGTAACATTCCTCATAATGTTAGTATGTTTTTTAGATAAAAAATAATCATAATTTAGAAATCAATGGCATTTTTCCTAGCCTGCTTTTAGCCTCTGATTTGAACACTCTGTTTGAAGGGGTGTGTCTGCTGTGAGATTCAGTGTAACCGCGGCCACTGCTGTGATTGGCTGACATGCTTGCATATGAAATAGCTACGCATTACATGTGAAACTCTCTCCCGAATACTTTTACTACTGCTATTATACGTTTTTACTATAACAGCTATCGAGATTAACGAATCGTGAGATGTTTTTAAAGTATTTAGATTTATTCCCATCACATGAGATGTTTTTAAAGTATTTAGATCTATTCCCATCACAAAAAATGTTGCCGTGATGAGCATTAAGCAGATGACAGTGTGTTGATCGCGAGAATGAAGATCTTATCATTGCAAAGCAGTTTCTGCACTCTCTCTAAGGCTTTCACCAATGCAAACACGATGATGTAAATACAGTAAGAGCTTCGTTGTGCAGTAACGTGCGTCATTGATTTCATAACGAGTTTGGCAAGTGTCCAGATAAACTTGCGCTGTGTGGAAAGATTGTTCTTTGATCGCTTTCTGTATATAATTTGTTCACAATTTAAATACGATTATTTTCATCCTACTAAAAGAAACGATGTGAAGCTGATATTTTAGTCACTGGCTTGACTTACTGATGCATAAACAGTATTGAACGATTTTGAGAGAAAGATTACCTGTCTGAACTTGAACAATTAAACATCAGAAAGTGTTGCTTGGTAGCTCGATCCGAGGCCAGCTCTGTATTGGCCCAAGTTGAGGAAACCGTCGGTGAAATGTTTGGAAATTTCCAGAGAAAATAAAATTAACCCATTGTTTCTTCAGAGGCTCAGATGAAGGAACTAAAAAATACTTTTGTGTTCATGTGTACATCCACACTGAGCAACTGCCATGCTTCGGCTGCGCAGTTCCGCCTGGCATTGAGGGCTGGCATTATGCAAATATTTGGAGGCGTACATACTAATGATCTCGACTATTGCGTCACAGTCGGTATTGTGTGGAGAACCGACCGTTTTTCAGGGGTGTTTTTCATAAACGTGAATTAAATGCGAACGCGAAAACAGTCCAGTTTGAGATTCACTCTATGTCATGTCCATGCACTGAACTCTTGTTATTTGACTATACCAAGGTAAATTCAATTTTTAATTATAGGTCACCTTTAAATCCACGAACGAAACGCATCATATGTGAGATTAATCAGATATTTATATTACATCAACTTTATATTACGACTTATCTGCGTAAACTTGTGCTGGTAATGTGTAGGCTAATCCCTGTTCTGGACGCGCTATTCTCACAACAACGCGCTGAAACGGCAACTTAACAGATAATTCACAACGTTTTATTACAATAGTGTTCTCATTATAAATGGCATGTATATGACAGTCCCAATTATAGTTATAAATGTGCATTGCTGTTTGAGCTGCGCAACGCTAAGATGATCACAGCAAAGATGACCACCGGTACAATGAAGCGCTACCCTTCATTAACTCAACCAAACGCATCCTATATTAGATTAATCATATATATATACACAAAATATATTATTGCAACTTACAATGGCGCAGAATGCTGCGAATGCTCAAGAGAACTTGACTGTGCTTGTCATGAAGGCTAAACTCCATAGACGCGCTCATTCCGCCACAACGCGCTCGTCGCGCTGAAACACTGCCAAACAACAATTCACAACATTCTTTTGCGTGTTTTTATTATAATGTTATGAAGCCTATGTGACAGATTTGTGCTCCACATGTTGCACTGAAGTGTATCTTCCTTTTCGAAGTGAATCCAATCATTCAGAACCATCATGGCGAACAGCGCGCATCTCTCAACTGAAGTAAATAATATCTATCGGCTTTGATATATCGGCCCAATTTCTTATCTGACCGATAACATCAAAAAAGATCATTTATCGGCGGTTATCGATATGTGGTCGATATATCGTGCATCCCTTCCAATCATTGTGATCTTGTGTTAGCAATGGTTGCGTCCAAACAAAGACATGCAGCTACCATTGCTTTGCATCAAAAAGGCCTCACTTGCAAGGAAATTGCTGAAAAGAATATTGCACTTTAAAGAATGTTGCTGCAAATAATATTGCACTCATCAAGAATTTCAAGGAGAGAGGTTCAATTGCAGTGAGGAAGGCGTCAGGACGTCAAAGGGCCCTGTTTTAACTATCTAAGTGCATGGTCTAAAGCGCAGATCGCAATTGCACTTAGGGCGAGCCCAAATCCACTTTTAGAAAAATGGTCGGCGCGCGCGGCGCATGGTCTAAAAGGTTTGTCCCTATTCTCTTAATGAGTAATGGGTGTGTTTTGGGCATAACATGAAATAAACCAACCAAAGTCTCATCTCCCATTCTCTTTAAAATCCAGTTGCGCTCGTGCCATGGTGGATTGCTATTTACATAGCGAAATTTGCTGACTGAACGAATCTCCAGAGCGCAAACGGATCTGCTCGTGGACGAGATTAGAGCGTGGAAGCATACCATCTACGGGACAAGCCGGATTCCACCATATCTTTATGTATCCCTGTGTGTGTAATAAGCAGAGTGTACGCCTGTTGTGGACCCGCCTATAGGCGCACATAACCAACACGCTCTTTAAATAACAAAAAAAATATTGCGCCATTGACTTTAGACCAGGTTTTTGTTGGTCAATGGTGCAGTCTATTTCAGTTGCCTCAAAATAGCATTGCGCCAACAATGCGCCTGAACACACCTCGTTTTTTAGACCAGCACGGCCATGGGCGCATAAATAGACGCAAATGCATTTGCTATTTAAACAATGTGGCACAGGGCACGTGGCGCAGGATGTGAAAATGATAACTGCGTCGGGCTGAAACTAGCAAAAAACACTTGCGTCGCACTTGGCGCTTGGCGTATGATAGGGCCCCTAGAGTGTCCCGCAGGAACAAGAATCCTCCTGAGGTTTCAACGACAAAATCGTGTCACCACCAGTGCAGAGCTTGCTCAGTATTAGTAGCAGGTGGGTGTGAGTGCATCCGCATGCACAGTGAGGCGAAGACTTTTGGACAACAGTCTGGTGTCAAGAAGGGCAGCTAAATTCTCTACAAGACAAAAATCAAGGATAAACTGAAATTCTGCAGAAGTACTAGGATTGGACAGCAGAAGACTGGTGCAAAGATATTTCCTCTGGTGAAGCCCCCTTCCGACTGTTTGGGACATCTGGAAAATCGATTGTCCAGAGAAGAAAAGGTGAATGCTACCATGAGTCCAGTGTCATCCCAACAGTGAATTAGAATTAGTGACCATCCGTGTGTGGGGTTGCTTTTCATCCAAGGGAGTGCCGGGCTCTTAATTCCATAGAGCGGGGGTTTTCAAACTGTGGGTCGCAGAGTGGGAAAAGTTGGGTCGCGCAAAGTCTCTTGGCTGCAGCTAAATTTACGTTTCAATGATTGACACACACACACACACAAACAGTTGAGGTTTTAGCCCTCAGTCTATGGCTGCACGATATACCAACATTAAATAGAAATTGTGATATTGCTTAGTGCGATTTTCAAATTACAAAGGCAGTGATTTAATTATATAAATATGAGCAGCATGTTTTGAGACACGGGTGTGCGACTAAATATTGTTTTCAGGGTCTCAAATCATTATTAATGAGAACTCGTTCGCTCCAATCACAATTAGTGTGTCGTTTTGTTCCTACATGTGCATTTGGCTACCTACAAACACAAACGGAAACTCAACTGTCTGTAAAAAGTATTTCACATGTACATGAAACCCTTCCGGTTCTACTCGCACCACTCCAAGCAGGATTCAAACCGGCGTTTCTGGCATGGGAGGTGGGCGCGCTAACAAGGACTGAAGATCGCGGCCTCTAGCGTCAGTCGTTAGTGTGACTCTTGAGGCCAGGGCAGCGTGGTTTACTCGCACAGCTCTTACTAGCTGGCCTCCATTACACTCACCCCCCTAAACCTTACTCCCATCCGGGTCACGGCACCAATATTACCTTTTCGGTTCTATACAGATTATAGCAGATCATAACCAGACTGGAGTGAGCATGTTTCCATATTTCATATACTCTTTACCGTCTGTAAATAATGAAATTACAACGTAAATTTTAGCATTGAAATTTTACAGTTAAATTATGTTAAAAAAAATGTTCTTTTTTTATTAAATACTCGATTTCTGTCATATCAAACTTTTGATTAAAATTAAGCTTACAGTAATGTCAACTGTCTTCTAATCTCAAATATTTTGGTGGGTCTTGAGATAGATTATACTTCTCTAGGTTGGTCCTGGAATGGAAAAGTTTGGGAACCCCTGCCATAAAGAATCTGAATCGAAGAATCAACACTGTAAATATTGACACTTTTTTTTGCCAATAAAAGCTTTAAAAACGTATAAAATGCTTATCATTATTTTCCAGTATACCATAAAAACATGTGAAAAAATTATCTACAAATACTGACCTTTGCAAAACAAAATTTGTCACTGACAATACTTTTTGCCACGGCTGTACAACAGGACAGCAGGTTTTAGTAAGTATCAGTACATCAGAAAGCAACATCAGATAGCGTTCTGATAGTGAGTCGCTTTAGTTGACCTGTGCTCAACTGATTTTGTAGAGACATTCCATTTTTATATAAAGGCCAAAAAGTAGAAAGTGCGTCTTGGTGCTTTGACCTTAAATCTCTCATTAAAGATGGGCATTGGGAGTGTGTGATAGGACTGTCTGCTTACAGACAGAGAAGGTCTGCTAATGACAGGGAGAAGATAAATCATAAATCCTTCAGCATCTGTTTAGCTTTAAGGGCTGTTGCATTAGCACATAATAATCTTATTTCCGTAATTCATGCACATGGCAAATACCTCTGGTTTGATAAGTGGAATTAACAGAATAATGTGTGTGTGTGCCTACTTGATCACATTTTTTAGGCAAATTTGTACTCCTAAGTGAACTAAATATGACAAAACCACCTTTTGGGGACCTATTCATGTCTAAAAATAAATAAAATTTCCTTAGTAAAGTCTTAAAAAAATTGTCAGAAAAGTCTTGTCTTTTAAGGTTAGGGTGTGGGATAAGGTTAGGTTATGTTATAGTATTTATAACTAACTGTATATACAAACAATAGAAGTCTATGGAATGTCCCCATTTAGATAGCTAAGTAAACGTGTGTGAGTGTGTTTTGTAGAAGTGGAGGGATGTTGGAGTCAGTAGGAGTGAAATTTAAAAGGAGAACATGTGTTTGCATGTGATGTTTGTAATTTAGAACAAAATAAGCCATACGGAACAAAGCGTAGCATACATATGAGAAACAAAACTATGTCTGGCCTGTCAAAATGAATAGTTTGAATGCTAGTCTACCCCTTGCCGGCAGAGTGAAAAATACAAATAAAGAAAGAGAGACAGAGACGGAATGTTATTAGCTGGTGCCGCCCGTTCTGCTGTGATAGCAGTGCAGAGACAGACAGCCAATAAGAACACTTCATCTCTGTTTGATGACAGGGGTATTATATAAACAGTGACGGCCCAGCGGGAGACAACCACCACAAACACAACAAGCTAAGGTACTACTCCCAGATTCAAACACAGAAGAATAATGAGAAGACTCAAGACTGAAGATCTTCAGAGAACAAAATGTTCACAGGGCATTTGTTAATGCGGAATATACATGTATATATATATATATATATATATATATATATATATATATGGAATATAAATTACCTTGTGAATCTTTCCAGCTTCAGTGGCTACAAGAAAATGGTAGTCCTTTTGTTTATGAAAGTCCAAAGATGTTCCAGCTAGAAACACAAACAAAATATCTTCAGTGAGGATAATACATTAATGCATGCAATTCTTTTTTACACCATTAGCACATTTATTCAATTAGCCATTTTAACAGTTTCTTTCTGTTCTGTCTGATTTCTAAAAAAACAATCTGAAAATAAATGGAACTGGCGAGAAGCTAAAACCAGATTCAAACATTTAACTTAAGTCATTTACATTCTTTTTATGGTGAAAATGAATTATCATCGACTCTCAACAGGTGCAATATCACCATGAATGAAACCCTGTCATACAAAATGTAAATGCTAATGTGCAGAACGGCGTAAAAAACATCTTTACATGTGTGCATTTTATCCGCATTAAATATGGGAAAAGTTGCTTTATTAGTGAATTATTGCTGATTTCTGTGTCTGTGATTACATTGCTTGTACTATATTGAAAATATAGTCACAGCTGAAGGGGTTGAAGGCACAACATATAGCACAGCCTTTGTCCTTATCCTGAGAGAAAAACCCCACTCACATCATCATCACATATTTCTATCGACATCATTGTGTTCAAATTGGTTGTGTGAAGAAGAATTAATGTATTAAATACTTAAAAGGTGTAATACCTGACCAGTGGTAATGTGGTTCATACCTGTAGCAATGACATCCTTAAGGTCATCAGGAACTTTGTCCGTGGCTGGGAGTTTGATGATGTCTGTGAAGACTAGTTCATGCTGAAATCCAAATGATTGGCATCAATTAACCTCTTACAATAATGACTTGTTTTAGAATCAACTATTAGATATTTCCTTCTGTACCTTTACCAGAGTCCAAGACACCACTCGTCCATCAGCGGACACAGAGATGAAGTTGTGATTACTGTCCAAATCGTCTTTCTGCCACTTCACCTATAATGAAGACAATGAAACACAAAAACTATTTCCCACAACAAGAGCTGGATAAAAATCTGTATCTATTTTTAAGTGCACTAACATTCAAAAGTTTTGGGGTCGGTAAGATATTTTAGTGTTTTTGAAAGAAGCCTCTTATGCTCACCAAGGCAACATTTATTTAATCAAAAATATAGTAAACCAGTAATATTATGAAAAATATGAAACAGCCATTAATAGCCACTATTCCAGTCTCCAGTATTACATGATTCTTCAGAAATCATTTTAATATACTGATTTGGTGGAAATATACTTAATGTTGGAAACAGTTGTGCTACTTAATATTTTTGTGGAAGCCATGATACTTTTTGTTAAGTATTCTTTGATGAATTGAAAGTTCAAAATAATCTGTCAGAGAAAAACAATCTAACTGATCCTAAACATTTTAACAGTAGCTTTAAAAATAGTGTACATTATGTAACCATTATGCAACCATAAATGGCCAATTCCATGCAAAGGCAAAATTCTTAAAATGTTCTTAAAATGTTTACCTCAGTTCTATACTTATTGTATGTAACCACACTCATTATATTATTTATAGATATTTTCTGTTTCGTTACATCCTATATAAGGTGTGAGCCAATACAAGCAGTTTTTAAAATGGCTGTGTTCTACTGTTTGCAAAAAAGAGAATAGATAGATCCAAGTTTTCAACAAAATTTTATCATTTGGCAATTTGCTGATTAACAAGAAGAGTATGACAGAGCATTGTGTACACTTAGCGTTAACAGCAAAGCTCTATAAATGAAGCCTCTTGTTAAATGTGTCTGTGAATTCCAGGGCCAAGTAACTAACTTCCATAACGTTTTAGAGGATAAGTTTATGCTACACATAGGCCTACAATGTTGATCCAAAAATGTCCAAATGTTTCAGTGCAATGTTAACTTTTAAATGTAACTTGTGTATAAATGTAACATGCAATGAACATTTTGTGCCCTCTTGTTACTTGTAAACACTTTAATTTTACATTATGGGAGTGACGTTACAGACGTAACATTACATGAAAGAAAATTCTAAAAACAAACTCACATTTGATATTCAAAATGTAGTATGCTGAATTGTATATAAAAGGGACATTTTTTTTTATCTAATTTTGTGTAAAATTCCATCATAAGATTATATTAAAAATTGCAGTTTGATATTTATTTGTTTATGTGTGGCACAAGTCAAGTCGAGTGCACTTATTTTTCTGGCTGTGTACGCCACATTTTGGTAAATATAGGTTATCCAGGAATTCTATGCATAAAGAAAATTTGCACACTGCACAGTATACAATACTGCATTGGATATAACAGAACAAGTAAGAATAGTATTCTATTCTGACCATTATTTTGAATATACAGCTCCATTGTCATATCATACAGTAGGCAATGAATAATGATGGTTTACTGTTATTATTTTACCCATGACATATCCTCATCCATACCTGCATCACAGCGCCTCTGTGTTTCCCGGAGCTGGCTGTGCTGTTATAAGTGGGCTGATCACTCTTTTTCTTCAGGTTGTAGACTGCAACACAACCGTCATGCAAACCCACAGCCACTAGGTAGGACAGTTGTTCATGGATGTCTACACACATTACGCCTGAGGTTGTGTTGAAGATGAATTCTGGGTAACTAGAGTTCTTCAGGGTGTAAAAGAGAAGCATGCCACGCTCCTCTTGGGTAAATTCATCTTGAGGGGTAAGATAAAACACATTTCAAATGCTTTACAAATGATTAATTGTCTAAGGTTTACTTACAGAGTAAATAGCAAACTTACATGACCCAAGACCAACAGCGAACAAATCATTGTATTTAGGATTCCTAGAAATAAACAAATACAGATGTCATTAAAAGAAGTGCTTTTTATTTTACTCAAAAAACACTAAAAGCGTGCATTTTGTTTTAAAAAGTATGAAACTCACCAGCAGAGGGCAGTCACAGACAGACCTTTAGCTTTATCATACTGGAGTTTCCACAGCGGGAGAAGAGTGCCCTTCTCTCCTCGAAATTCATCAGCTGCATCCTCAAAGTACATGAAATCTGAGATTTGGATATAAAGCTGTTTACATCAGAAAATTGCTCTCTTTTTGAACACTTTTTAATATCTGTCGATCTGTCAGATATCCACAATAAAGGGCGTAGAAGTAAAAATAAATGTTTTTCATAATTACCTTGTGCAACCTCATCAAATATATTCTGATTCACCATACGCTCAATGATCTTGGCCGCATGAGCTAGTTGGGTTATGTCATCACTCTATAAGCACAACATGTTTTTTCCCCCTTTAACTCAATCCTTCAAACAAATCAATTACACTATTGAACTAAATAAACATGTCATTTTCTTGATTATTGTGTATGTACTTGGTTACAATCTGTGTCAGATCATTTGTTGTTTAGCTACCTGAGTCTCTGCTTGAATAATTTTCTTCTTGCTTTTGTCCTCCTCCTTATGTAGGACCTGGCCCTCTTGCTTCTCTTTACTTTTCTCTCGCCTATTAAGTTCCTCAACGTAAAAGTCATAGATCTCCCACTGCAGAAAGAGCAGTGTTTGCTGATGTTTTACGAATCCGTATTCACCATAATATAAACATAGTGCTGGTGTACTGCAGGTGTAGCACAAAAAAGTTGCTTAAAATCATTTACCAGCAAAGGCAAAGATTTTCTCACCTGATTGGCTGTAGCCGAGAAGTTTGCACGAGGAGGAGGCTCTGTTTGACAACTTATATCCTGCAAAACATAATTTGGATTTTTTTTTTAAACCAGTGGCTTTTGCATAAACTGAAAATGCAGAAACCCTAACAAAGTCTTTCTATAGTCTTACAAGCTATGAGCAATCACCATTTTGCCCTTTTAAAACCTGTACAGCAAATCACTTTTGATTAAAACCATCTACTAAATGACTACGTGGTAATAAACAGATGGCATAAAAGTTCAGTAACGTAACCCTCTCACTCTTGGAGGGTTGTTTAGTGTCTGAGAGGCTCTCTCGTTGAAGTTGAACTGGTTGGTGAGTTTCCGCTCTTTCTCGCCAGCTTTGGCCACATTGTCTAGCTTCTCGGCTCCTGTGCCATCTTCCCTTTCAGCTTGTTTAGCCATCAATCTCCGACCTTCATCAGATTCCTTGTGCACAAGATTCCCTTCTAGTTCAAAGTGAATAGCCATCTGATCTACAAAGATGATAGGTTTATAGCAACCCTCCTAAAAAGACAACAGATTTTAGTGATTTGTTAGGCTGATGACTAGAAATCATCATGGTTAAGGATCACTATTTCAAAAAGTTTAGAGATGCAGCAGTATTTTACTTTGAAACCGTATCTGACAACGTTCTGTGGAGCATTTGGATTGTTTGCTGTTAGTACTCTGGTAATCTCTTCATTGAGCTCCTTATGAACACAAGAAACAGAAACATGTATAAATAATTATCCCAACATCACTATAATGTGACATTATGTTAGCAGGGTCAGACCACAGGTCCTCTCCAGGTTTACACACTTCCTCAGTTAAGTCCAGCTGGTCCGGAGGCTTCACAAGAGTCTTCCCCGGCATCCATTCTTCTCCTTCAGCTGTGTCTGTTGCTTCCTCCTCATCCTACACGACAAAAGAGGTTTGAAAGCCCAATATCCTTTTGAAAGATATGTGACAATGAATTCAGTTCTACCTGGATGAAAAGTGATTTGAAAGCTACGTTACCTTCTTCTTTCCAGCAGCTTTGACAACCTTTGCCACAGGTGCCTTTGGCTGGGTGTTAACATTTGTTGCCTGCATTTTAAGAGAGAAAATATCAACCGTATGGTCTTGACAACAGTGCATAAACTAGATGCTGGCTTAAGAAAGCCTAGCCCTTAAAGTTTTAAAATGAAAATTTTAAAGTTATAAGTTAGATAGAAAGTGATGGATTAAGCCAGAAAATGTAGTCTCATAATAACAATAAACGACAAAGCTGTACAGTTTAAATAGTAGATAACAATTAGTTATTAATTTGCATTAACATACCTGTTTAGATTTCACTGTCCCAACTTTGTGAGGAACGGACATTTTTCTGTTTAACAATAGGATCTGTTATGCAGCGAAAATACTCTGAAACTTGAGGAGCTTTTTAAAACGTAAAAATAACTTTGCGTTTAAAATGACAAAACAAGTGTTCCCTTCTTTGAAACTGCTAGCAGCTAACGGTAGTGCGTGTGTCCGTGTGTATCTAGACGTTGTCATGGCAGCGGGCAGCGGCGTCTGGCGCATGTCAGCAGTGAGTCGGATAGTTCCTCCAAAAGCCATTGGAAGGCACACCCTAAAACGGCCTCTTGTCTCCTTCCCTGCATACCCCCAAAGCCGCAGCGTTAGTTTGAGCCGTTATGCTTTTTTGGCTAAAGATTGCAAGTTTGCCTTCAAGTGAGTGGCACGCACGCCAAATGAATTTCCGCGTCTGCCCAGAAGATGCCGCCCGCAATTTAATCTTTATTTTATTTTTTTATTGAACATAAAGATTACAGTGGATATTTATCACAAAAATCACAAGAAACTCGAGGTAGAGCACGGCAATAAAGTACATTTTCAAACAAGATACAGAGATAGTCTATTAAAAAGCAATTAGATAATTGAATATAAAATAAATGGAAATGAATAAATGTTAAAAAAGCGTGGTTTTAATCAGTTATCAACTTTACATTTATGAAGACGAAACTGGCCAGTTAGCAGTTTTAACATATCCATCTCATTTGATTCACCCAAATCAAAAACCGTAGGTAGCCTACATTAATTATTTCTAAAATAAAAAACTTTGTTATATATGCAGAAAAATAATAAGCCAAGATGCTTCTTTCCAGAAACTCCTTTGAATTATCGGATTCAAAGAACAAGTGTGATGTTTTAACGTAGTTAGAGAATGTGTACTGTGACAAGGTATCCGACTTAATTGAGAAAGAAAACAGTCACGTGATGAAGAATTTTATAATGAAGTTATTTTAACTTGTAACAGAAACTTATTAATGCCATATCTTAATAATTATAGAGAAAGGAATTTAATGTCCTCTTTAAAAAGCTTGGGATGATAGCTAATTTGGATTGTTCTAATCCAAAAATTGTTACATTTGATTTGACATTACAAAGATCCAGACACCTGCCTACAGAGCATGCAGATGCAGTTTCAGGACCACATTTCCATAGACAGTAAAAGAAATGGACAGAGCGATCTCATTGGAACTCAGTTGAGACAGTTGAAGCCCACTTTTAGCGATTTTTGAGAACTTCCGTTCCTGACGCGCAGACTCAGACCGACTCAAACTAAGCTTGATGACGTGAGCAACCTGTCTGACAGACGTTAATCTTCTAGTAGCTGTGCGTGAAAACTGCCAACGTTAATCTTGCAGAGACGGGGAACTTGAGCAAAGAGTTCTTTGGCGTGAGTGAGCAGGAGTAAGAATTCCGTTGCTTTTATGGACTCATTATCTATGGGCTTCTCCCTTGACGGGACGTCCCCCCGATTGCCTGCGAGCTTCTCCTCCTGTCTGTACGGTAACTTCTGTACAGCGCGACAGAGAGTCGAGTGGTTATGACGCAATCGTTAGCCTATTTTTACTAAATCTGTTTCTACGGGGCCATAGTGTAACATAGAAGGTAATGGAGCCCTTTATACATTGTCGTGTTTCTTTAGAAATAAATAATGGACAAATGGAGTCTTTAAACGCCTCAGATGTAAAGTTATTCGCTGTCAAAGTGACGCAAAAATGAATGGGAGTCAATGGAAATGCTAACGCAAGTGAAGTTCTGCTACAACAAGGCGGCACCGGGCGGCACCCGGCCGGCTTCAACTTCCGGTCGATGGATTACCCCCTTGCGCATTTCTAGGACATTAGTTTTTTGTGACAGCGCCACCTAGCCAATTGTACGCCGCCAGACATGATTCAACTGAAACAAACGGGTGCAAATACTAGAGTCTAGACCACTGCAAGGATGTTTTTAAAAGTGCATTATATTTTCATCTATTTTTTGACGTAATATATTAAGAGCGTTATGTTTGGGGTTAGGGGTTGGTTGGAATAATATAAATTTAATTTAAATAATTAAAACAGTAAATAATTTCTAATAATACAAATACAGAATTTAATTAATAGTAAGTGCTATATGATACAGTATTATAGCTAAGCTAGCAGGCCTTCAAAAAAGGATCGAGGGTCCTAGAAACTGTCCTCAAAATCCAGCCTTCGGTAATGCAGGATCATGACTGCCACAAGAACTAAGCAATGCTTTTGTGTAATGAAAAGTAACCTCTACTCACACTGTTTTCGTTTTTAATTTGAATTTTTTTACTTTGAAGACTAAAATCGTGTGATTAGCCCAATCCGGAAGCACGCTCAATAAAAAAATAGAATTATTCATCGCGTCTAAAATGTACGGAAGTAAACAGGCGGGGCTTTACCTGTCCTTGGTTGTGTTGGAAAGTCCGACTCGTTATTCCGCGTTTTTATTCTTTTGTATGGTTCGTGTACACTTCATCTAAACCGTTCAGACCGATTTTGTGGATTATTTCAACTGATTCTTTGAAAATATTCAACTTAAAAGAACGATTTGTTCAACTTCAAACCAACGAGTCATTCTGTCATACTGTGTAACGGAAACTAGGCTACTTTGAAGCTGATATGAAGGACCGTCTGGGCGATTTAACACCCGTAAGACTTAAATTATTTCCTTAATTCGTGTTATTTGGATGTCAAATATTAATGATAACAATTTACGTTTCACTTACTTTCACTATCGTAAATACATAGATTGCTTGCATTATTTGCATTGGTGCTTTAGCAAGTATTGCCTTATATCAAGTTTTCTGTTAAAACAAAGTTTGGATACGTTGAAAATGTTTAAAGCGAGTGGTTTATTATACGACAGAAAAGTCCCAGCTGCTCTGTGACTTCTTTTTATTTGTTTTGACTGTAGCGCTGCAATGACATCATCATCACTCCTGTGGAGTCCAATGTTTTCCTAGAGGACTTCCTTCCTAAGGTTTGTATCATGGGGTTTGTATGCGTGTACTTGTGTTTAAACATCTACAACTGCTGTTTATAGGTGTAGAGCCATGTCTCTCTTTACATTATAACTGAAAACGTGAAGAACCATTTAGTCACGTTTTTTTTTAACGGATACAGGTTGGTGAGGTTCAAAAACTTATTGAGAGAATTTCCCTTTGTGTTGGAGAAGTGAAGCTGAGGCAAAGTACCATTCTGACAGAAATCAACCCACCGACATGTGAGTACATTGCACATTGTTTTTGTGTCTTTACAGCTGTAAGTGCATGCACCTAGGTGTCTGAGAGGGGTTCCCATATATGAAAATTAGAAAATAGGAAATTATAATATTATATAGGAAATTTAAAATGATGATGATTTCCAGGCCATCAAAAGTTACACTCAGATACAAAATATTAAATAGTCTCTACTAATGATTTAACCAAAAAAAACTCATCCATTAATCGGGAAATTCATTGTTCTATAGCCATGGGAAGCCAGACAGTGAATATTTACTACAGTATTAAACAACAGTGTTTTGTCAATTCACTTTTGCTCTGTGTTCATCTCTACCATATTTGCGTGTCTAATCTCATTAACAGATGTGAGAGATGAACTTGAGCAGTTTAGCCATGACATCAAGCAGACTGCAGATTTAATACGGGATAAACTAAAAGGTAATTGAATTTAATTCGATTTTTTAAATTTATTTTGGGTGCAGAATTCATGTAATCAGCCATGTACTGGCCATCATGAACACCTGGTGAAACAAGGAATATAATCTTTTATAATCTAAATCTTTTCTTTCACCTTAAAAAACTTTATTATTTGATTGTTCATGTAGATTTAGAGGGAACATTTTCAGAGAATGAAAATGCAAACACCATCTCTGTCTACTGTCGGATCCAAAGTACTCAGGTGAGATGTAAACCTCTACTGAATTATAAATTCAGTATTATCCTTTAGGTGTTTGTTTTATTATTTTTTCTAATTTATGTTGTTAATTTATAGCACACAGTACTTTCACTGCGGTTTGCAGAAATAATGAGTATGTACAACCAAGAACTGTTATCTTTCCGAACAAAGAGTAAAGAGCGGATACAAAGACAGCTGGAGATCAGTAAGTGAACCGTCTACATTTATGTTACTAACACATAAATGTCTTTTGTCACCACAGCCCATTGCTATTTGTATATTCCCACACTATTTCTACGGTAGTATGTAGCCTCGATATTTAATTGGTAACCCTACTTATTTTTATTACATCTCTAGTAAAAAAAAATATCCTAATGAATATGTAGTGTTCTTAATGTAATTTAGATTAATCATAAATCTGCACAAGTTTGGGTTCACGGTTCAGTAATTCTTTAAAAAAAAAAAAAATTATACTTCTTTTTCGGCAAGAGTGCAATAAATTGATCTAAAGGCACAATAAATACATACAGTATATAATGCTTCAAGAGATTTCTGTTTTTAAAATACATGTTTTCTTTTGATCTTTGTATTTAACAAAGAATCCTTTGAAAAAGTATCATGGTTTCCACAAAAATTTTAAGCAGCACAACTGTTTTTAAAATTGATAATAATTAGAAGTGTTACTTGAGCACCAAATCAGGATATTAAAATAATTTCAGAAGGATCATGTGACACTGAAGACTGGAGTAATGATTCTGAAAATTGGCTATCACAGGAATAAATTCCAATTTAAAATATATTGCAATAGAAAACTAAATAAACTAAACTAAAAATGATTTCACAATACTACTGTTTTCACTGTATTTTTGATCAAAACTTCTTTCAAAAAACATTTTTTAAAAATCTGACCCCAAACTGGGAGTGTACTGTATATAGAAATCAGACTTGTTATTTTTCAAGGTGGTAGATTCAGCACTGAAGAGGAGACAGAGGATTTACTGCAAAGTAACAACCCTGCTTTCTTTACCTCAAATGTAAGTTTCAGTGTTAACATACAGCTGAATTCACTTTTACACATAAGCTTCCTTAAAGGGATACTCCACCCAAAAATGAAAATTTTGTCATCATTTACTCACCCTCAAGTTGTTGCAAACCTGTATGAGTTTCTTTCTTCTGCTGAACACAAAGGAAGATATTTTGAAGAACGATTGGAACCAACTGTTTGTGGGGCACCATTGACTTCCATATCTTCCTTTGTGTTCAGCAGAAGAAAGAAACTCATACAGGTTGGCAACAACTTGAGGGTGAGTAAATGATGACAGAATTTTCATTTTTGGGTGGAGTATCCCTTTAAATGTTAAGGTAACTCTTTGTATGTATAGATCAACTCTGGCTCCTGCATCACGGGGCGAGCTCTGAATGAGATTGAGTCACGGCATAAGGACATTCTCTGTCTGGAGGCCAGCATTCGAGAGCTGCAAAACATGTTTATGGATATAGCTGTGTTAGTCAACAGTCAGGTACTGTCAGCTTGCTGGAGAGTTCAATAAATTATCTGAAAAAAATGGTGCAAAAAAGCCTTACACAGTTAAAAATGAAAGTTTCAGTGCTTTATCTAACATGAATAGCTGCTTTACACCACTGAAATATCAGTTATCAATTATAATTTAATGATCAGAATAATGTACATGAAAGCGCTATGGGATTATGACTTTGGTATATCATAATTTAAAGTTTTTTTCTTTTACTTTTTTATAGGGTGAAATGGCAAACAACATAGCAAAGACTGTGATGAAAGCTGGAAACTATGTAGATCAAGGGAAAGTGAACATGCAACAAGTTGTTGATTACAAGACGTCTTGGCGTATAAGATTGCCTCCCTTGCCTTCATTCAAGCACAAAGCAAAACCGAGAACCGACAAGGGCTCTTGAAGGAATCTTGAACTTTGAACATATGCTACTTGAAGGTGCTTTTGTGTTTATGAAAACGAGAGATCCATGCATGCACCTTGCCTTTACTTGAAAAATTCCTGCTTGTTACAGATCGTTGCACTCCCTGAATGTTTTGCTGATCAGATCCTTTTGATCTGTCTATTGGATTTTCTCAGCCCATTTATAAAAAATGGTTCTCATTTGGTTAATGATTAAGCTTGCTCTCAGATAACACTAGCAGGCATTTTCTGATGCAATATGACTAAATGTCAATAGGTATGTTTACATGCACTCATTTTCCTCAGTCTGAATGAATCCAATCCAATTTCAGATTGTGAAAGTTCTGTTTATATGTGCAGTGGCCAGTCAATACGTTTAGAACCAGAGAAGGCCACCACAATGTCACTGGAGCTACCCCGAGCACAATTGCCGTTTTTGCTTTGTCAGAAGAGCTTTTTAGCAAACATTCAGTAAATATTCAGTCACCAACTAGTTTGTAAGACATAAATCTAAACATACACATCACGGCACTGCACGTCTGCAAGGAATTTTTAAATCCGATTTAAAAAAAATGTTCAGTAGCTACCGTTGATTCGATTATTTCAGGTCTGCACCATCCTCTTTCAATCCAATTGAAGATTATTTTGGATCTAACTCAGTTGGATTGATTGAAGTGTTTACACAAAGGCTTTTCAGTCTGATTGAGCCATCAATCCGATCATAAACAGATTATTTGGGTGCATGTAAACGTAGTTTATGTAAAAGCCCAGTTAGAGTCTCCTACATTTAACTTTTGTTTCTTGTGTTTACTTTTATTTTTATGTGTATTAGTTGGTGAATATTGCTTTTGTGTAACTCATAGTTCACCCAAAAATGAAAATTCTGTCATTTCTTCACCCTAATGTCATTTTATGAATTACTTTCCTCTGTGGAACAAATGTTTTTTGTTCATACAATGAAAGACCAGGGTCCAAAACAGCATTGATATTCATTGTCAATGTTTTGATTTTTGATATAAAATATAAACAAAAAATAAGAACTGGAGCTATGCCATTTCAAAATCCAAATGATGGGTCATCAATCTTAAAACCTATCTGATATTTTCAGTCCTGTATAAGATAATTAAATGATGTTTTATTAACAAAGTTCGGGAGGAGCACGTTCAAATAATTGATCCAATTATCACATCATTCCAACCAGCTGTCGACCATCAGTAATCAACATGTCTATCCAATCAGCTCGAGTTGGAGACCTATATATATACACACATTTGACTCACCAATGTTCTTCGACAGTTTTTCAGCATCCCTCCACCACCCCGTCTCCTCACACTCACCTGGTTACTACTTAAACCAGCAATACGGGGGGAGTACTTTGGGTTCGGGCCAAATATCCGAGCCCGGAGCCCTCTCCCCGGACAGCACGCCAAATATGCATACCATTTATTCTATCTAACTTATTTGTAAGTGTGAACTAGTGAAATGCATATTGTGTGTAGAATACTACAGAATGGACTTGCAGGTGTTTTCAGTTTTTCTCAATCTCTTTGGCTCTTTTTTCTCAAAACAATAAGTTCAGATCTCTGATGTTTTGAATTCATTATTAATTTAAGCAAAATTAATGTGCTTTGGCACATGTTTTTTTGTCCAATTAATTACATTTGTCTACAATTTGCACAATAACTAAATGTACATGGCTTGTTGATCCAAAGTGTTGAATTGATTCTCAATAAAACTGTCAAACTCTTCACAACTTCTAAACATTATTTTATCATGTGAGCCATCACATGCAAAATGATCCATTCACTTATCAAAATCTGTCAGACATGCATGTATATTCCATAAATATCTGACATGGAATGTTTGTAATATCTGCTAAATTAGCAAATGGCCTGCCATTGTAATAAAATAGGAATCAAAATTTTACGAATCAACTAATCAATTTTCGAAAGCATAAATATTGAGTCTGCCCAGCACAATCACTACCATTTTTGAACTCAGAGGATCATCACAACCCAAAACACCAGAAGCTACAGCAGTACTGTATAAATACATTTTTATTTATACACTGTTAAAGTATATACATTTGTATTTATACACTATTTTCTTTTATTTTTTGTAAATGTGTTACATACTGAAAATTCTGTTTCTTGTCGTGGAAGAGCAATGGAAGATATGTAAGAGTGTGTGGTGGTATGGAAAGATATAATAGACTGTATAAAACGTCAGGCCACACCCCTAAATGCATTGAAGCAACTGCCATGTGATTGGTTGATTAGATAATTGCATTAATGAGAAATTGAACAGGTGTTCCTAATAATCCTTTAGGTGAGTGTATGATGGCAGAGCTTTCAGCTTATAGATTCCCCTATCCTAGAGGGAGTAAGGTGCTATTAAGTGCTAATGTGGATTTCTGTCTAGATATGTAATAAACATTTTGCAAAAGAAAACCTCAAAAAGGTTCATTAAAGATACATTAAGACTGTTCACCGGTCATTTTCCTCAGCTGTAGCCAAAGGCAAGCACGCGTTTCAAATCAGTGCTTCTCCCAGGAGACTACCGCTAAATTAATACCCTAGCTTAGCGCCATCTACTGTTTTGGAAGAGGAAGTTGCTCAACTACATTTGTGAGAAAATCGAGCCGAGAGATCTCATAAAAAGCCAAGTGTCTCACAATCATAACAGACAGATATGCATTTGTATGCACTAGATTTGGTATTTGTTCAAAGGTTACATGCAATTTGTAGGATGGTTTGTATTTATTTGTGAAATATCATCTAGGCTCATTTATTTATATTTGTAAAAGCACAAAAGCTTTTTATATTTATATTTGCGAAGCACAAAAGTTTTTACTTTTGGTAATACCGTTCTTGAGTATGAAGCCCAGTATAAGTATTTAGGATTTGTATTTGATGAATTTATGTTGTTTGACAGGAGTTAAAATCCTAGCTGCTACAGCCAGTAGAGCCCTGGGTTCTGCGATAAACCAGTTAAAAATCTGTAAAGATCTTGGTTATGGTACATTCTCTCAGTCTCTGCATGTGTGTCCCCTGTGTTAAACTACGCTGCTGGGGTGTGGGGGACCGTGCAGAGCCCAGCCTTGAACGCTGTAGAAAATCGTGCAATTCGTTGCTTCTTGGGGGTTCATAAGTTTGTCCCAGTGCTGGCAGCGCTGGGTGATATGGGCTGGGTTCCTGGATCAGTCTAAAGGAAATGTGAAATGGTTAGGCTGTGGAATCGACTTGTTAATCTCCCAGAAAATAGAGTAACAAAAAAAGTTTTTCTGTGGAGTAAGAAAAAGTCTATCTGGGCTGCAGAGCTCCAGACTGTTTTTGCTGATGCACAACTCCAGTATGTATTCTGTAATAATTTGCCTAGCGTCAATAACATCAGATCCAAATTGATGTCAAATTTTGAACATAAATGGCTGATTGGGATTATGGCTAAGCCAAAGCTAAGGACTTATTTACAAATTAAAGATGTATATGAAACAGAGTTGTATGTAAAGGCAAATTTGACAAGGAACCAACGATCTTTGGTGGCTCAGCTGCGAACTGGCATCCTTCCCCTGGCTTTAGAAACTGGTAGGTTCACTCAAACTCCTGAAGAGGACAGACTCTCAGTTAGGAGAGGTTGAAAATGAAACTCATTTTGTGTTATATTGCCCACGGTAAGATGATTATAGAATTGTATTATTTGGTGAAGTGTTTGTTAAAAAGCCTGAAATGTTCTGGATTAGTGATGACGACAAGATGAAATGGTTGTTTAATTTTAATGTGTTTAAATTGGCTGCTTTTGTTTGCAAAGCCTGGATGAGACGGCAGACTTGTTTATTTAAATAAGTTCATGTATGTTGTGCCAACTGTCTGACAATTGGTCTTTTGTTGATGGTATTGGTGTCTTACAAGCCCATTAGGGCTGGGCATACAGTAGTATGCAAGACACAATAATAAAAAACTATTCATTCATTCATTCATTCATTGTAAAACACAATACATATTTGTTACTCCACTGCATATTCGCTCAAAATAAATTGACCTTCGTACTTGCACATTGCTTTCTGTTTGTTTGTGAGTCGAGTTTTCCTTTGCAAAGCAGATCGAGTTTGTTTGCAAAATGCTGGATTTGTTTGTTTAATTATGGCACAAAATTAACTCCATAGTAACGCAGCCGAGTCCTCATCTCCAGAGGACTGAAGCTCCCCCCTCCGATGCTGCGACCTACATCTGGTCATCAGCTGAAGCCCCAAAGGAAACGACTGGTCGTCCATGTTTTGATTCAGATCGTGCTCGAAGAGGAGGGGCTATTCGCGTCTCCGTTGTCAGTTTGTGAGAGGGGGAGGGAGGGAGCAAGCTGCGCGCAGCTCTACAATAAAATACAATTTTACCCATATTAAATTAGTTAAAAAATCTTAAAATCACTCCGTGGCGGTCAGCGTTGATATTGTGGCGGGCCGCCACAAATTAATGCATGGGAAACCCTGGTGTGTCATGAGTTTGGTATGCCACATGGTTAGCATGGGTGTTTCACGATTAGCACGTCAGCCCGCTATAACTTACACGAGAGAGGACCATTTATGTCAGTAATATTTGAGTCTTTAAAAGTTCATGATGTTATTTCAGTTTTTGAGTTACTTTAAACTTGCAAATTTGGGAAATTAACTCCATGTCTGTGAATTGAGTTATGCATTGCATTAGTCTTTGTCAGTCTTGTATATGACTTTATGGTAGATAAATATATCAGAGACAATGAGTGAACGTGATTAATATCTCAGCTGCATTGTTGTCATCTATTTCATACTGTCATTTAGTGTTTGAGTAGATATCCAGTCTAAAAATGATTTATTTTGTAAGAATGAGATTTGAGTGTCAATGTGCCACACGTATCTAGTGTGATGGGACATGCTTAAAGTCACTTACATTTACAACCAGTCATTTCTGTGAAAGAAAAGTGATGCACTGATTATAATGTACTGAGTATTTGTTATACATGTATGCTTTTATTAATTCATTCAGAGTAAATACGACGAAGCCATC